GGCACACCAATGGCTTCAAAGGAAAGGTAAACAAGTTGCGGCCAAGCCCTAGAGGAAGAAACAACTGAGGATCCGAGGAAGCTCTATAAAAGCATTTGCATTTGAGGGGAGCTCAGCTAAGAGGGAAAGACGCAGGCAGAGAAAACACATTTGCAAAGTCGCAGAGGTAAGACAGTATCCTGAAAACTTGAAGAAATACTGATTAAGAAGATTATGGGCGTGAGGATTGGGAACTCCGGAGAAACGAGGCTGGAAATTAGATCAGGAAAGTTGGTGATGGTTTGGGAAGAGTATTTCATGCTTGCTCTGTTGTGATCTGTTCGGTGCTTTAGAACTTAAACAAGCAGTATCAGGAGCTGTTGCAAGAGATGAGGAAAGCGGGACGGAGGGTCTAATTCATTGTGGTCACCAGAGGAAGAGGAAATAAGAATGTTTTCAAGGTTTCCACGAGATCTGTGTTTGCATGAGATGATTAAGAGAATTGGGGAGCACCAGAGGAAGAACGTTTCTTTTTGGTGAGGAAGCTAAGATACACTCAGTTTTGTGTATTTGTGTTCAGGGGACTAACCTAGACCCCCCCCTAAAACCTTGTACCCTCAAACTGTGTGTGTGTGTGTGTGCGTGTGTGTGTGTGTATACACACACATATATTTTAAATCTCTCCGGAGTCAGTATCAGCTGGGCTCAGCTGAGCAGTGCTGGTTGACAGAGCAGCAGGGCTGAAGTTCAAGGCTGGGCGGCTCGGGCTTTTCTCTGTAAGGGGTCTCAGGGTGGCTGCACCTGGTGCCTGGCTTCCAAGAGGTCACAGCAGATGCTGCCCGCCTTGGAAAGGCTAAGTGCGGACTTGACCTTTGCATTACTTGCATAACATTACTTCATACCCCACTGTCAAAGCGGCCAGGGAGCGGCCCAGGGTGGGGGGGGGGGGACAGTGTCACACCCAATGGGTGCAGCCTTCCCTGCCCTGCCACAGCGCCCGTATAGAGGGCATGTGCGGAGCTGTCCTGGGGGACCGTAGTGAACCCTCGCCTGGCTCTCCGGAGAGAAATCAGAATTGGAAACGTGAGTGGAGGGATTTCGTGGGGGAAAGTTAGCAGTCGAAATCTTAAAAAATGGATGATTAGAGCAGGGAGTTGAGAATGCAACAGGACTACATTTAAGAGAGGCCTGGGCGGGGGAGGGAGTCCACAGAGAGGTCGAACTCTAACAGCCAATCAAGAGGACGCTGGAGGACTTACGCTCCCAGCAACCGCGCGGACGAGACGCGAGAGGGAAGGCGGTGCTGGGCATGGGAGTGGGCGGTGGCGCCCCCTGCCGGAAGGTGGGTGCGGCTGGGGGAAGCACGTGAGCGCGGGACGCAGTCTGGTTTGCAGGTTTTCCAGGGCTTGGGGAGGAGTCAGCGGCAGGGAAACAGGAACACGGGGAAGACTGGAGGGATGGCTTATGGAGGGCACCTCCGGCTTCTGAAGAGGAGGATGAGACAGGAAGACACAAGGAGAGGATGCTCTGGTGTGGGGAGGGGAGAGGCTCAAGTACACGTCCGTGTTCCCTGTGAAGGAGGAACAGAACTGCTCCGCGCTAGGATCAGGGAGTCCTCCTCCTCCGAACATCTACAGGACATTTCTTCTCCTGTTAGTTACGCGTGCACGAAACTGAAGAGCGTTCAAAAGCACTGGAGATGAGAAATCAAGGGGTGCAAAAGCCAAGTTTTGTTTATCATTTTTCCTCATTGTTTTGGTTTTAACTGTGGAGAATCAAATGAATTTTAAAAAGAGATGTCACAAAAGTTAACAGTTTAAAGCAGGAGGGTACGGTCACATGCTCACTAACTTTTGCAAAAATACTGGAAAATATATGGGACTAGCTATATTAAATGATAGTTAAATCTTTTCTTTATCTCGTGGTATATAGATGGAAATATTCTTTTCCATCTCTTTTTTTTTTGGTGTAAATTTCTGCTTTAGGAAAACCGGTTAATTATATGACCATTTGGACGTTATATATATGTATATATACCAAATTACTTTCAGCTAATACTTTTCCTGCATAGAGACAGAAATTATTAGACAGAAAAATACTGTGAAATAAGAATTGAGCAATTCAGCCTAAAGAATTTAATTGACTAAGTCTAAGACTATCACGAAGATAAAAGGCGAGATAAACCACCCTTTTGTAACACATATACCATGAAAGAAGCATGCCTCCTTGCAGCAAGTGAAAACAGACAGAAGGCTACTACCAGGGGCGCCTGGATGGCTCAGTGGGTTAAGCCTCTGCCTTTGGCTCAGGTCATGATCCCCGGGTCCTGGGATCAAGTCCCGCGTGGGGCTTTCTGCTCAGTGGGGAGCCTGTTTCCCCTCTCTCTCTGCCTGCCTCTCTGCCTACTTTTGATCTCTGTCTGTTAAACAAATAAATATCTTTAAAAAAAAAAAAGGCTACTACCACTCTTAGCCTGTAAAAGCAAGATTTTAATTTTTATGTCTTCATCATGTCTTGCCTTTACTAGAATATGAGAAAAAAAAAAGATGCATGACCAATGGAATTTACAAATATTTTGTTTGCTCACAAATAAAAATATACACTCTTGGAAGAGCGGAAGTATGTCTCCCATTTTTGCATCATTGTGCCTGGCATAGAAGCTCTCAGAAGGATGGAGAGTGACTAAATGAAGCATGAGTATTGAAATCATCTTTATTTGGATATAGCCTGAAATATCATAAAGCAAAATTATAAACCAGGATGCAGGTATTACAGTGAACCTACCCTATACATATCCACCCTGTAACACTTTAACTGTAACACTTTAAGTGCCTTGCAAATATCTCATTTATAAAGTCTGCTCAGTAAAATAGTCTAAATATTAAATATTAATTATAAACAAAACAAGTCTCCTAGGAATTTGTATACACCCACTGTATTTTATACAATAATTGTGCAAGCACAGAAACTTACACATGGATAGGATGGGTGGCTAAGGAACCCCAGCTTCTGAACTAATAGTCAAAAAGCATTACTAAATGTATTGAAAATATCTTTCAGTATTCATTGGTAGAAAAAAATAGAAGTTAAAATGATTTATTTCATATTGATCTTTGCTGTAAGCAGATAGCTTTGGATGCATATACATTTTCATGAAGTCAGCACCCCTTCTTCCATCTTGCTTTAGAGAAACCAACAAGGAAGGCTTATGGCGTATTGGAAGAAAAGCAGTGATTTCTATTTGAAGATTGCTAGAGGATATCAAGAGCTGTACCATTTAGCTCCCATCACAACACCAAGAAAACTATGTTAAAATAGCTATTTTTAGGGTACATTATTTCATCCAAAAGTAAATAATGTAGAAATAGGACATTTCATTCCATGCATAGAACCCTCTATTGGAATGGGTAATCCATTTGATTTTATTCAATGAAACAGATTTTTGATATCTGGTTTGGATATTCTTGGTATGCTAATAATTTAACTTTCATGATTAGGAGTTCTCACCAAGAAGATCCTAAACTGTCTGCTGAAGCTAATCTGTAATTTTGCTTCTTTTTCTTTGTTGTTTTTACATGAGGAAGAGGGGGACAATGTCTCCAAAAACACTGAATCTTTATCAAACATGACTACAAAAATTCTAATCATTAGGTGCATATATAAATGTAGTTCTGTGTGCTATATATGTCTATGTGGACATACATTCATATAGTATCTATGTACATATACATTCTAGCTATGGGTTTGTTTTTAACTTGAAAAACAAAAATGATGATAAAGAGGAAAATGAAACAAAGCCACACAAATTGAGCCTTAGGGAGACTAAGAGACTAAGCTACTTATTTATCAGATTGGCAGAAACTGCCATGGCTAAGGGATGCTGGGATGCCTGCTCACCTACATTTAAAGGCAATGCAAACTCCCAGGGACCCTTAGTCAATCTGTCTCCAAATCATATCCATTAGCACGTGATGCATGAGTAGGAAACCTAGGTTGGCACATATTATTTTAAAAGTGCTGTTCACAAACAAATATTTTATATATATTATATATGTATTTGAGATCATCCTAATGAAATGACCAGGTTTTTGTATTTAATGGCTAAAGTGACATTGAATGTTAGCAATGTAATTTTCTGTTACCAACAGTAGTATCAATAATTCTTCGATGATAAATTGTAAGGGGAAAACTGAAAGAATGATAAATTAAATATTTTTATGCTCCCTTCATCCTGTAATATTACGTCAAGTGTTTGAACAAAATACAGAACAGTCACAGGGTCGTGCAGGGTGCTGCTCATTCCGAGAAGACTTTATCCCACATCAAGGTTAGACCTTCAATGAGTTTCCATTGGCTGAGTGATTGCATAAATTAATGCCATTCAGAACTGCTTTAACTTGCACAGCTGACTTTGGAAATGTGTGACTAAGCTTCTAAATTGGCATCGAAGGCACATTTACGGGAGCTGCCTTATCTCCGCACCACTTACTGCCTTTCATCCCCCCTCACTTCCTCCCATTATCATCATCACTTTCATCACAGACAGCTGAAGTTTCCCCTTCAAAATCAAAAGCCCTTGGAGAACAATCCTGCCTTAAAGCTATGGGCTGCTGAAAATGTGTTGTCTCTTTCATTTACATTTTGATTAAGTGAAAGTCTCTTAATTTGGGCCATTATCAATACATAAATCTGTAGAGAAAATGAACCAGCATTTATAATTCAACCAACATTACATGATTTACTGACCTTATAATGAGTAAATACAGAAGGGGATTAAAAAAAAAAAAGTCCAGCTCTCAGGTCCCCTGGACCTTTCAGTGACTAACAGGGCAACTCACATCCTCTGTGAAGGCAAGCCTTAAGCTTCCCGTGTCTCATCCCTTCGTTATTTCAACTGAACTAGGTCTCCAACAATTTTTAAAACCATCGCACATAATACATTTGTCTACTCTACTTGACCAATCTTCCTGTGGGAAGGCTTGTGAGTGGTAAAATGAAAGGCTCAAAATGGGTTTCCATACCTGATTGTGGACTTTGTTTGGGGATTTTGGCTACCGCTTGAGGGCTGGAGGTGGAGTGCATTTGCTGGTTGGCGGAGCTGTGGATGCTGCTGGGAATGGCTGCGGAGACGTTCTTGCGAGGCTTCATGTCTTGCAGCCACATGGGCGAGGCTTCAAAGGCCTGCATCCTCCTGGCATGGCTGTTGGCATTGACTTTCAGGTAGGCCTGGGCTTTGTGTTCCTGTAGCTCTCCGTAATTGGCATCTGTCACCCTGCATTCATATAAACCTTCATCCTTTTTCCTCACTTTGGAAATCTGAAGCTTGTGAGAGATGTCATTGCCTTGGACTTTCACTGTCTGAAAAATTGCAGGTGGGGAAAAAAAATAAAGCGCTACATCAAACGATTTTGTTCCCATACTCGCTCCCAAGCTTGCTAATGTTGGAAAATTAAAGGGTCTTAACAGCCTCAAAGCCACAGTCAGAGAGCTATTTATTTTCTCAACAGTCAAATCCGAAAGTCATATTTATCCCATTGCACTAACAACCGGCTTCACAAAATCACGGAATAATTAGTTCAATCCAGTCAGCGCCAGATTCTATTGGCCACGTGGATCCGTTTCCCAGGTTCCAGAGACAGTCCTGCCATTTTCCAACCACGAGATTGACCTCTGCCTGGAGAGCTCCGTCACATGAAGCACAAACAGAATATGGTAAATGATTTCGTTTATAAAGCCTCTTTCCTTCACTGCAGGCTACAACGAACTCTGAGAGATCACAAAATTATTTGGTTGGTCACAACAGAGTCCAAGAATGTGTTTTGATCCCCACATTGGGATGCCTTACTAAAGGTACTGACAAAATAACTTTGAATATTTATTTATTTATTTTAAAGATTTTTTTATTTATTTATTTGACAGAGAGAGATCACAAGTGGGCAGAGAGGCAGGCAGAGAGAGAGGAGGAAGCAGGCTCCCTGCCGAGCAGAGAGCCCGATGCAGGGCTCGATCTCAGGACCCTGGGATCATGACCTGAGCCGAAAGCGGAGGCTTTAACCCACTGAGCCACCCAGGTGCCCCAACTTTGAATATTTACTATTCTACTCAAATGTTTGGTGCAGTCTTACCAACAATCATGGGGTGGCATGGCTTAAGGTACAGATTAAGATCACCTGGAGTCTTATGGTCAGAGGACATACCCTCTGCCATGGCAGGGTCTTTAAGCCACTGGACCTGGAGATGCCATCAGTCAGACACTGGTCTGATTTTTGAAATTAAAGTTGGCTCTCTTATTTCTTTTAATAATTTTGATGCCAGATTAATAGCAAAATTATATACAAATATTAAAAGATTATATATAAGTTTGTGTTATGTGTAATATACATACACACACATATATGTCCATAAGCATCTTCACCAGAACAGTTAGATTTGACATACATCATATATTATCCATGATTGACAGGATGATGGATTTCAAAAGACTCTTAGGATTCAAGGATGTGCATGATTTTGAAAGACAGAGAAATGAAATGAAGAAGACATACACTTTTAAATGGCCATAAGTAATTAAGAAAACTTGGGAAGTGGTCATCTGTTTTTTACATACAGAGTTGTATATACAAATATTTATCAATATTTGAACCATAACCATAGCCTGTATTTATTTGTATGTGAAATTACATATTAATATACCCATACTCTGAAAATAATGGGGATTAATAGTTTCAAATAAAGTCTCAGTTGAGTTTCCTAATAAAGTCTGAGATAGTTGGAGTAGTTCTATGATGATTATTTTACAGTAGAGTAAACTGAGGCTTGGGGATTTGGGTCCTGGATTCTCAGCATTAACTGTACATTAGAATCATCTAAGGAGCTGTTAGAAAATGGTTTCATTTAGGGGTGTCTGGGTGGCTCTGTCAGGTAAGCTCCGACTCTTGATTTCAGCTCAGGTCATGATCTCGTGTGTCATGAGATTGAGTTCTACACCGGGCTCTGCAATGGGCCATTAGGGCCTGCTTAATATTCTCTCTGCCTCTGCCCCTCTCCCTCCCTCTCTCTCCCCCTCTCTAAACTACTACTACTAATAAAAGAAAATGGCCTCATTTGGATTAATGTGGAAACATTAAGTTTGCCTCTTAAGGAGGCAAAGCTCATATCAATATTTGATCAAAGCATTCCTGAGAATTCTAAGTCAACAACTGTTGGTTTAAGATACATGACCAAGGTCACCCTATTAAACTTCTATCTCTGTAACTAGAACTTTTGCTGATTCACTAGACTTTATGATCTTTTATAAAGAGAATACTGTTAGTAGCTATTACATGATCACGTTATCTTAACCGTATGGCTTCCTAGTTCAGGATGTGTGAGGCTCTTCCTTATTGGTCTTTGGAGGATACAGTCATGGCTGAAGGGTGAAGCATGGTGGTCAGTAGACAACCTCGCCCCTATATATCTATAAAAACAGAATATTTAAGATCAGTATTGTCAATAATTGATTTTACCAGTAAAGCCTTTCTAGCACTGTATGAAAACAACAATTTCTGTAATATCATAATAATTGAATTGAAATATTCTAAAAAGTCAGTGAGTTTATGAATATAAATTGTAGTTTTTGCTTTATGTCTTACTTTGTTTGATATTTATACATTTATATCAGAATTTGGTCCTGTTAATACAATATATATTTATACTCTTAGTTGTTACGTAACTCCAATCTTAGACCACTTTTTCACTATTGTAACGGCTCCAGAATAAATTTTCTTTTTTAATGAAGGTTATTAGATTTTTAGATTCCTAAAATGAATAAATAATAGGAATATATATTTATACATATATTTATAGCATATGTACTAAGCAGACATACTTTCTGAATTAATATAACTATTTCATTCCTAATGAAAACTTGCTTACTATTTATGAATTAGTTAACCAGTTCTATCAATATAAAGGGATTCTAGGAGGTTTCACTGGTGGTATAGTAAAAAAATACAATTTTCTTTTTATTTCTAATTTCACATAGAATTATTAAAAGTTAAAATACATCTCAAGGGGCGCCTGGGTGGCTCAGTGGGTTAAAGCCTCTGCCTTCGGCTCAGGTCATGATCCCGGGGTCCTGGGATCGAGCCCCGCATCCGGCTCTCTGCTCAGCAGGGAGCCTGCTTCCTCCTCTCTCTCTGCCTGCCTCTCTGCCTGCTTGTGATCTCTCTCTGTCAAATAAATAAATAAAAATCTTTAAAATAAATACATCTCTATATTTTCAATAGGCCGACCTCCTCCAATTATGTTTTATATTTATATTGCCTTATGGTTTTATATTTATATGATTTTGAGCATTTTCAGTAGGAATACATTGCATACATTATGAATCACATTGAAAATTCAGTTGTTTTCAATACAATTTCAACATAATTTTTTCCTGCCTAGAAAGATTTTCATAAGCTAGTGTTTTGCTTCTTCTTTTTTCTTTTTTTCTTTTTTTTTAAGATTTTTATTTATTTATTTGACAGAAATCACAAGTAGGCAGAGAGAGAGGTTGGAGGAAGCAGACTCCCCGCCGAGGAGAGAGCCCTATGCAGGGCTCCATCCCAGGACCCTGGGATCACGACCTGAGCCGAAGGCAGAGGCTTTAACCCACTGAGCAACCCAGGCGTCCCGTGTTTTACTTCTTCTTAAAGGATAATTATTTCTATGGCTTTGAATGAATATTAATATTGCAGTCCTATACTCCTACAGTTATGTAAGTGCTAAGAAGAGTAAGAAAAAAATGTCACACTCTTGGCTGGCAAATAATTCTCTAGTAATTGTTTAAATATTTACAATATTGAAATAATTTTATTGTATCCACTCTAAATCTGCTTCAATTTTTGTGTGCCCAGTGAAGTAAGAAAAAGAAAACTGGACCTTGTCCTGCGTTCGTGCAATTGCCTTTTCTCGGGACAGTAAGTTAAAAAACTCTTAAAAACCTAAAATTATCCAATTTTCAGCTTGGGCCTGCCTGGCAGCTGACAAAGTCGCGCGTCCCCTGTCGCCTGTCGCTGTGATACTCACACTGATCTTGGTCCCGTCGTTGTCGGGGTCTCGGTCGGGCACCAGCTCCACCTGCGGGAGAAGGAGACGATGCTCAGACTCGGGACCCCGACGGTTCCCGTCCTCATCCGGAACGCAGCCGCACCGAGCCACCTCGGTGAGGCTGGGTGAGGCTGGGTGAGGCTCGGTGAGGCTCGGCGGGACCCAGTCCGGGGCAGTAGGGCCATCTCGGTCGGGGTGATTTAGGAAGGAGACCGACCAGGACGCGCGCAGCCCTGGCCCGCGGGTCCGCAGGTCCCCAGCTGAGGCCCGCGCGGCGCGGGGCTGCAAGACCGCGCGGGGGCGCTGCCGAGTCGCGCGCGCTGGGATCTGGATCCCCGACACGCCGGGCCCGGGAGAGCTGGACCGACTCCCGGAGGGGCGCGGGCGCGAGTGGAAGTTTGCGCGGACAGGACTCTGCGTCTTTGCCCGGCCGGCCTCCCCTCCCTGGGGTCTCTCCAGATTTCCTTGTTTCGCTTGGACAAGTCCGCCGCGTCTTTTGCCGAACTGTCCGATCTCGGCTCCGACCCGCTCCCTCCTTCTCTCCCCGCTGCTTCCCTTTCCCAGTCCCTACTCCTTTTCTCCACACCTCCCCTTCCCCTTTCTCCCCTCGCCTCCGCCCCGCTCTCTAGTGTGTTCCAGAGTAGCCCCCGGTACCCTCCTTAGTTCACTCCCCATTGCCTCTACCTTCGCACCTCCCCGCCTCTCTCCGCCGCCCCTCCTCTCCCTCTCCCCCACTTTCTTCTCCCCTTTCCCTCCCTCCAACGCCCACCTCCCCTTACCCCTCCTTTTCCCTCTTCTCTCTCCCCCTACCCCCAATCTCTTTTCTCCCAACCTCAGTGGTGAGAAGAACTGACGTGTGTGTGTGTGTGTGTGTGTGTGTGTGTGTGTGTGTGTGTATGATGGAGACACAGAAAAATCCCTCCCGACTCCACCGTCCGGGAAGGAGGACAGAGGGTGTCCTGGGATGTAACAACACAGTAATCCCCTAATGACAGCTGGACAACAGCTAGTACTAAAAGGAGGAGGTTATTCCCAGTTTTAATCGGGAAACACTCCACACCCTGACTTCCTCCATTGTTTTAACGTAATGTCACCAGGACACATTCCGGCTCACTCCCTGGCATCAGTCACGCTAAGAGAGCCAGGCGGGTCCCCAGGGACGTCCAGTACCCCTGGGCACCTAGAAGACTAAGGGAGTGAGTGGGACAGACGCACGGGGCGTTGCGGGCGACGAGACTCCGCTACCTGCGCACCAGCCACCTCGGCCCCGGGCTCCAGGTCCTCGGGCCCCCGCAGGAACCACCACTGGATCTCCAGATACACCGAGGCAGAGCCACTTTGGAAAGCGCAAGACATCTCCACATTCTGCCCCTCGGTCGCCGTCACGTTCCGCGGAAACTCGGTAAATTTTGCTGCAAAACAGAAATGCATTCTTTTGGAATACCCACACCACTCTTGTCAGCGTCTCCTTCCCTGAGAGCTCGCTATTTTTCTTGGACTTAAAAAAAAAAAAGGGCGACAAAATCCCTCTGTGACTTCTCGGACTTTGCCTGGTTACCCAACCCCCTTTCCTTTGCCTCATTCCTGTTCATTTTTGGTATCATGCCTAAATAACTTTATTGTTGATGAAGTCCAGAATAATGGAAAGGTTAACAAGCTGGCCAAATAACTCATCTCTGTTAGCCAAGATGCCCATGGTTAGATCCATATACCTTTTGTCAGACTGCAGCAATACCCGAAACTTAAAGAGGGATTCAATGAGCTACATCTTTGATAAATCCGCCAAGCTGATATATAGGGAGAGCTTCTTGCTCTAAGTTTCTGGACAATCTATGACTAAATCATTGTTTCAAGTCATAGAGAATGGATCAGGATTACCTGTCAAAATGCACATGCCTGATCCATCAAAACAATCATTAGCCATTGTGATTTTAAGGCCACAGCAGTGAAACAATTTGCACACTTTCTAAGCTGTGGACATTTCTTTCTTTCTAGATTAACCTTCATATGTGTTCTCATCAAGCTGTATGGTAAACTGCCATACATCATGGCATACGAGAATTACACACCTGGTTTTAGTTCAGAGTAAAGACTGTATTGAAGGCACCAGAGATTCTTTTTTTCTTCAGTCTTTTCACTATCAGTCTTGATACTGCCTGTCTGCAAATTCAGAGTTAAGGTGAAACTCACAAAAATGAAATGTTCCCTTACTCTCAAAGGCATTTCTTGAATGCTCTGGGTGGTTGTTCTTCTCTTGTCCAAGGGATACTTTGTGAAGAGCTGATGTTTCCCTAAAAGTAATCTTGGAAAGATTTGTGGCTGATGGAAGTGCACAGTTGCAACGCACACTCGTGGACAGGAGGACTGAGGGGCTGCAGGACTGATTCAGGGCGGATGCACTTTAACCCCACTTTTTAAAGAGAGGCATCATCAGTGTGTCTTTTCAAAATTTTAGGAAATATCAAAATGATCTCAACTGGCGTGGAACTGTATTTGTACTTAAAGGAAGTAGCAGATGTTAAAGAAGGCATTCTGATGTGAAAAGGACTTTTCTGTTTAAGCTGGAAGGAGGAATATGGCATTTCTGGTTGCAGAAGTGATGCAGTCTTTTGGCCGTAGAGATGTGATCTGTTCATGGTGCTGAAACGATCACTGCAGCCTGCGAAGTCCGGAACAACGGGATTCAGCAGGCTGCCGCGGCTGCTGCTGCTTGGAATGCAAGTCGTGCCTTTTTATGGGTCCTCAGAGGAGTCTGTCCTTTGATAAACACACATGCAAACGAAGTCGCAAGGACCCAGAAAAAGGAAACTAAACCAATTCTGCCTACACTGAGGAGGACTGGCGATGGAGAGCCCCCTGTCCCCAGCTCTGTTTGTTTGCCATGATTATGTATGCATGAGTGGTTACCCAGTGCATGCACACATACACAAGGCACACACACACACACACACACACACACACACACACACCCCTGTGTTTGCGCTTACCCAGGAACCCACTTCATTGTCAGGAACCAAGTAGATTTGCTCTCAAATCTAGCTTGTCTACTATTTAATAAACTTTAAGGAAAAACGCCAAACAGAACACTATTCCACTGTTACTTGCTAGGACTCTGACTACATCTGCTTGGCCGTTCTTTGAATATAGAGAACGCGCACACACACACACACACACACAAACACACACACACACACACTGCAAGCAAATGTATATTTGCCAACGAGCACAGACTTACCTTGAGAAGACAGCCCTTGTTGTACATATAAAACGGAAAAGAAAACAAATCCAACATATGCCAAAAAGATCCCCATCATTCCAAAAGGGGGGGGGGGTCACATCAGTGAAGCCAACAGCCAAAAAGCCCCCGAAGAAAGGAATGCAAACGTCTCAGAGGCTCAGTCTCAGAGCCCTGCGCGCGACACTGCAATCATCCTGCTGCTCGCTCCGCGAGGACTGGCTCTGGGGAGAGGGGAGTGCAATTCGCGAAGGTTAAAACCAGCTGGCTCGGATTCGGAGAGGCTTCGAGTCCACACTCGGGCTTGCAACGCGGGGAAGTGCCTCCGCGGCTTCGCTGTCTGCTTTGTGCTACCTGGCAGCTCGTCCAACGTCAGCCCGCTGCTCCGGCTTGCGTGATCACTGCCCTCCCTAAACGCCCAGCCAGCTCGGGAAGTGGGGAGTGGGCAAGAGGGGCGGGCGGGAGGACTTCGCCGGGCTCGCCGCGCCGCAACTTTTCCCTCTAATGGCTGCGATGATGCCTTTAACTCTCTGCGCGCCGGACAGCTCCTCACCTGCCAGTAACTCGGGCCGGGCGGCCCGCCGCAGGCTTCGGGCTTGGCGTCTCCGTCTACGTTTTCCTTCTGGAGAGCAGGAGCATTTATTTTTTTCCAATTTGCCTTTCCCCCCCATCGATTGAATCTTTCTTGCCTCGGCAGACGGGATCGCTCGGTGCTTAAGAGGACAATACAGTTGTAGGGTTGCGGTGTAGGGTTGCAGGGGGCTGGGAGCTGCAGATTTGGGGAGGAAGTTGGGGCATTGTTGAAGGGGAGGGGAGGAATGGGATGGGGTGAAGGAGACTGCTTTGGGGCGATGAAAACAGTCATTTGAGGGAAATGTCGCTTAACCAGTTATTAACTGCTTTAACTAGAATGATCACATGCTATTATTCCTCACGAATTTATTGCCGAACAGCCTCCAATAGAGGAGAAACAGCTCATGCAGGCACCATACCACTCTAGCTGGCAAATGGAAAAGACAAAAAGTATAAAAAGTCACGTACTGAGAGAATTTTCCAGAAAGAAAAGCCCACCATACTATGATTACTTTTATTTTATTTTATTATTCTTTTAAAAATTCATACACCCCTCTGCCTTCTCTGCTCCCCTCTGTATTGTGGAATGGGGGAGGGGTTTTAAATACCAGGAAGGTCTTCATTGCACGATTTTTCTGTTTATTTGCTTTTCTTTTGCATGACAATAGCTATTTAATGTTCTTTAGGATATATGAATAAAGAATATTATTTTGGGAAGAAAAGTACAATAAGTTTTAAAATTTGGAACAAATCTACTTATTTGCCCTGGAGAAGGTTTGAGATAGAGATATTCTATTCTTCTTAAAAATCTACAAACAGTATGTTAAAGACTCCATTTGTCCTTATGAAGTCCAACCATAAACTAGTGAATTTAAATCTTTTTAACAAAATTAAAATCATTTGCTATCTGAGCAGAATACCAGATATTTTGTTCCCATTATTATTTCTATGCAACTATACCACAAATCTTCAAAATTATTTCGAAATATGACAGCCTTAACAATGTCAGGAAACCAACGCAGTATACGTATGTTCATTTTACTGGTAAAGAATTTGTAGTTGGCTAATTCCTTCACTGACCAGAAAGAAATTAACCTTAAGAGAGCTGTTGGATTTTTAAACCACTTAGCCTTCTACTGCTGAATGCAGCAATAACGGAAATGATCAGAAAATGTTATAAAATACAATATTATTTATTTTTCTGAAGATATATTTACCTTTCACTGTGAGTAGAGACACAATATAAGATTGATAAGATCTGGAGAAAGTCCTGGGGAATATTTTACATCTGTTTATGTTTAGGCCAAGACTTCATATCCTTTTTGTATTGAGCAAAAGATTCTGAAGTAAGTCATTTCAAGAAAATAAGTCTCTTTATCTGCAAATACTCTCTCATGGAGAATGTGTTCAGAATATAGAAACAATCCAAGTTAATATACTTATGTCATACTTAACATTATTTGGAAAATAAACAAAACTTTGCAGGTATTAAATCCCCAGAGGTTAATTCTCTCCGGATATAAATTTTATCCCTAACAAGATATGCTCAGTGTTTATTTCATGATTTTAGCTTTAGTTGAAGCATTTAACATAAACATGAGATTACTATGTCATGAAAATGTCCTGACTTCAAGATTATCTGCTGTTAGAACAGTTTCCAATATAAAGAAAAGGGCATCCATTTTAAGCAAGGGAAGTTCTGAATTAGTTTAGAGAAGCACCTCAAATTCTCTCAAGGGGAACTTGATCTCTGTAACTATAAAAGTACAATAAAAATAAGTTGAAAAAGTGTAAAAGTGTGAGAAAATCTTTTATAAGACAGATAAACTCTCAAACTACTTTCTAAGCTTTTAAGTGACAAAAGAAAGAAGAAAAGAGGAAGAAATAAAGTAACAAGGAAGACAAAAATTGGAAAAGGATTTTTCTTGTGAAAAATGCCTGATAGGTATTTTATTTTCAATTTTGCCAAGATAAACCAATAATTTTATATTAAATATCATTTATATTGTATGAAATGATACTGTTGTATCATCTCAAGGATTGTAAATAGTGTTGGTAAACACACTTGCATTATTTCTTTTAGAACATTTGCCTTATTAAAGACAAAAATGTTTCTATAATAACAGTTTGAAATGATAAGAAAGTTTAATTATAAAGTAAATATATCTAATATATCAAAATGTCACAGTTCTGGGACAAAGTCCCACTATCTTTATAAGTCCTTATAAAACACCACATTCTCCTATAAAATTGGTGGTAACTTACCAGGACAGATTACTTGTTTGCATCCAGAAATGGGAGAGACAGTTTCTTTCCATTTCTCCTTTTCCAAAATGATCATCGCTGGTGCCTTACCCTATAAAAATGACTGCAAATCTCTTCAACAAACAAACAAACAAAGAAAAACCTATCTGTGAACTAATGCTCCAAAAATAAAATCTTAAATCTCATTTTTAAATTGTTTTCTTGCCTTCTAAATTAACTTTTGTTTTTGTTTTTATATTAAAAATTAAATATTTGTATCACCACACTATTTTTCCTCTAAAATAATATGTAATAGGAATTCTTACTTCAATATGGTCCTTCCAAAGGTGTAAGTCAATCTGTTTGAGTTCATTCCATTGCTTTCCTTTGGCACCTTACTTAGATTGCATTGCACTCTTTTCTTGTATATAAAAACTTATTTAACTTTATCTTTCAAACACTGTTGACTTATGATGTTCACAATCTTTCCCAAACACTTTCAGAGCCTTTGATCCACCCAAGAGCTAAGCAGGAGAGGGGTTCTTCAAGATCTCTGATTATCAACTGCATTGTCCCTTTCTCCTAAGACAGCTTTGGGGCATTTGCTCACTTTGAACTTGATGGGAAACCATATTTCACTCACAAAGGCTCATGATAAAATTATTTTCCATATTCTACTTGCATAATCTGTCCTAAATTGGGGCTTAAGTGCCCAATGTAAACTTTTTTTTTTAAAGATTTTATTTATTTATTTGACAGACAGAGATTACAAGTAGGCAGAGAGGCAGGCAGGGAGAGGGAGGAGGAAGCAGGCTCTCCGCGGAGCAGAGAGCCCGATGCGGGGCTTGATCCCAGGACCCTGGGATCATGACCTGAGCCGAAGGCAGAGCCTTTAACCCACTGAGCCAACCAGGCGCCCCCCCCACAATGTAAACTTTTAAAATTATCTCAATAATTGGAAAACATCAAATTAAGTATTTTATTTAGAAATAACCTCTAAAATAAAACCATCTAAGAAATTAGATGATCATCCTTGTGGATCCAGAAGCATAAGCTTAATTTTGTCACATCTCTGGCAAGAAGGTTTAGTTGAACTTTTCAAAATTTCCATCCATGCACCAAGAGGTTCACTCTACTGTGTTCTCAAATATGATCTTTGGAGAAGCTCAAAACTGCATAGGAGAGAATATTTCAGGGCCTTGAGAAATATTTTCACCTGTAACCTTATGCCTAGAGTACTTTTTTTTCTCACTTGGGGAAATAAAAAGAAATAGACCTCTTTAGATATGGAAGCAGTATAAAAAACCCACAGAGAAATTCTTTCAACAGAAGAGAACACGAGTCAGGAGAAAATCATTAACTTGTATCAACTGAAGATGAGCTTTTGAAATTTGTTTTCCATTGAATTATAGAAGTTGATACCCTGGTAGTGCTGGGGTATGGTCTCCTCCACATGTCACAGTTTCAAAGATATGAGAGAGTCAAGGACAAGATAATAACAACAGAAACAACACAAATGACATCTTTTTCTGTACATGTATATAGCATGTCTTCCGAAAATGAATGGATTTCAGAAATGGAATCAAGCTTAGTAAGCAATCAATCCATACTGCTCATTCTACATATGACAGGCCAGGGACTACAAGTGATGGCTGCTCACTTGTGTCCCAAAACCAAATCAAGACTTTCTTTCATCAAGATCCTAAGATCAAAAATGCTTAAAATGAAAGATTGAAGATTAAATCTCTTAGGGCAAGCAAACAAAACTTGTTCGTGCTCTTGACTTATAGGTTATTTTGAAAAAATGACCACTAAAAAGAAAATCAATTGCACCCAATCTCTCTCCCAGATGCCAGAACACAAGTCACCTGAAATTCCAGATGCTGAGAATAGTCTGTGACTTTCCTCCACATAATTTCTGGTTGTCTCATATCTTGCATCTTATAAAATAAACAGTCCAGAGAGGAAGAATAACCAGTGGTCACTGAAAGTGATCAGCTTTGTAAACAGCCAGGTGGCCTATATTGACTGACTGCCCATTTTATGGCCACTGGTCATTTTGGTCTTCACACGGCATTTCTCCCTTTATCTTTTCCTTTAACACATGACCAAAATATAAATTACCTAGATCTAGCTTTTATTCTGTGAGTCTCTATGTAACTTTGTAGTCGTAGTTCATGAAGTCAGACCTCAAATTATTCATGAGGTCATGTTATGTCACTATCAAACTGTAATATCGGGTCCTGATGAGACCTCTGGAAACGGCAAAGGGAAGTGTCATATTTTCTCTAAAAGTTAATATAATGATCTGCTTAGATGTCCTCCACAAAACTCGTGGAACCTTACCTTTCCCTGTTTTTCTCTTGGGAGAGATTAAAATGGGCTCATGATCAAACATAAGTTGTGTCTGCTAATTTCTTCATTAGCAAAAACGTTAACATGAACCTAGGTGCTTACCCTTAGTAAAAAATCTAAAAAATCAATAGCTAGAAGCCATCAAGTAAGAGGAGCTAAATCTGCTGTCGCTGCATTTACCATCTTTGGAACGTTTCTTCTTGCTTCAAAATTATGTTGCAATTGAAACTTGGGGTTTGTGATATTTTTTAAATTTCAATATAGGCTTTCTTTCATTTAAAAATCCCATGGGTTTGATTAGACATGAATAACTACATTCTACATCTATTTTTGTGCAACAGATAATTTTGGGGGGA